TAATAATTTAGAAAGTCAGTGTTATGTTAAAGATGCTCCCCAAATGGGTGAAAATGAATGAACAGCCCCAGACAAGGGACTTCCATATTGTAATTCCGAATTACTTCCCATTTACTAACAGTTTCCTGGTTATAACGACAATGGCAGCTTTTCACAGAATACACACAGGCATTACTTTCCATGTTTTAGATGGCTCAATTCACTTAATTTCAAATAACCCTATGAAGTAGGTGGTGTCCTCAATTTCTAACAGACATTCGGAAGCTGCTCAGTATCCTACAGCTTTTATGATCCAGTAATCAAATCCAGGAACCGTCTAAAAACTCATGCAGTCAGTGTCAAGACAGATAAACAGCCCAAACCATGTAAACTCAGTCGGGCCCATGGCGGCCACCTGTAATTCCGAGACGGTGGTGCCAAGGTGACTGGCTGTACTAGCTCAACACTGAACCCAAGGCTGAACTGAGAGATCCTGTCTCAGTGGACAAGGCAAGCATCAATCAAGGACGATGCCTGTCCTGTCAGCCTCAGGGTCTCCTCAGGAATAGCCATTCACATGTATACACACACATGCATATACATACCACAAATGCAGAAAAAAATTAAAGATTCCTCAAGCCCTAACTGTAGCACTTAACTTCATGTGTGGAGGACTCAGTAAAATAACACTGGGGCTGGGTATTAAGAGAAGAGACAAACCACCACTGAAGAACTAGAGAGGGCACCACTGCCACAATGATCTGTGCTGTTTTCTAGTTTCTTCATGGCAGTTTTGAGCCACTCCTGGACAAGAGTCAAGGTTTAATTTGAACCCAAAAGACATCCGGGAAGACAGTGAGGAGTGGTCTCAGGTTCACAGGGTGTCAGTCTTCCAGCCATCCGGTTAAACATCACATCAACATACGTACAGATTTCCTTTCTCTGAAATGCTTGGGACCAGAAGTGTTTCAAATTTTAGGTTTTTTTTTTTTTTCTCTAGGTTTTGCAATACATGCACATACATAATGAGATAAATTGGGTATGGTAGTCCAAGCATAAATACAAAACTAGTTGATATTTTATATATACCTTATACACACAGCATGAAGGTATTTATATACTATTTAAAAAAAAATTTTTTTTTCAAGACAGGATCTGTGTAATGCTGGCTGTCCTGGAAATGGATCCGTAGACCAGGCTGGCCTTGAACTCAGAGATCTTGCTTCTTGCCTACCTCAAATAATAGTCTTTTTGTTTGCTTTGTTTTGTTTCACAAATAATATTTTAAAACAAAACTTCACAGTATAGAATTTTCACTGATGGCTTCTTATTGCCCTTCAAAAAGTTTCAGATTCTGAACATTTTGGACTTAGGTTCAGCCTATACTTGGTAAGTATAGGAGTATTTTAAAAACATAGTAATTTCAGAACCACCATGAAAGAGGCCTTCCACTGTGTGTTCAATAGTTGATCTAAAAATAGTGTGTTTTATGTTTTCTATTTTAAAAACATTGTCTTACTTTTATTCAACAAAGTGTAAGTAAGTCTGAGGAAAACAGGGTTTTTTTCGTGTGTGTGTGTGTATGTGTGTGTGTACACTGGGTATCAGGGACTCGCTTAAACCAAGTAAGTATATTACCCCTTACTGAACCCTAACCCCTAGACCTGAGATACTTGTTTTAAATCAAATGATAGTCTAAGGCTTAATATTCTAAGGTCCACTTACCATGAACAATTCAGGCTATTTTCTTAATGCCTTAAACACCAAAATCTTCAGATCAGAGTAAGTCTGATCAGGGGCAAGCCAGATCTACAGGAAGAAAGATACGGATTAAGTAAGATTTTTTTTTCTATATTAAATTCTAAACCAAGAATTTTCAAGAGTAAAAAACAAAACAAAGTCACAAAGCTCTCTGTTGTCCTACTTCTTGCATATAAACCATTTTCTGGGTAGACACTGTGAGGCTAGCAGTAATCGGGCCTGGTTCTAGACCTGGTGTGGCAGGTAGTAGATATTCTTAAAAACATCAGCATTCATTCCTTACCTGCACCACTCCCTGTTGGGTGCACAGTTCTCCACATTTTCCTTTAGGACCTATAAACATCTAGATGCCTATTTGTCTAAATACAGGAAGGCTACAGGAGCGCACATATCCAACAGCTATAGAGCAGAGAAATAAGCATGCCACTTTGTCTACCTCACAACTACAGACTTGTCTCCAAGACTGCTATGGAGAAATCTTACATTCTTTTCCTCTATCCCTACATGCAGGTTCAAAGAATTTTCTTTCATTCTTAACTCTCACCCAAAGAACTCCTCATCCTGCAGCTCGATAGGCTGAAGAACAAGTTTCCTCTACTGACCACCAGCCCCACAAGTGCAGTAGAAGCAGGTGGCCATGCTACAATACAGTCCTACACAAAGACTTTGCCCGAGACTCCACCAAGGGATCGCCATCCCGAGGACCCACAACAAGTTCATGCTATAGGAATCACAGGGCTCTGAACTAGCAGGCTTCCTCATGTGCACTGTGTGAGAGCTGCTAAGATGGTTTCTAAGGATGCTCCCTCTCGTTTTCATCTCAGCCTTCCTGGGCTCTAGATACACCCTGGGCCTGCAATCAGCTGAAGGGAAGGCATTCCCTGCAGAACCTTCCTCGGTGGCACTTCTGAGGTCACTAAGTATGGAATCAAGGGGCATGGACTTGGGAGAAGAGTGGCCCTACGGTAGCCATGGCAACATATCAACGTGCACCTTCTCATTTCTGGTGAGTGTGTATTCTTTTTCAAAGGGGTCATGGGCCAATCGGCTCGTTTTTTCCCCCCTATAGAGATGTTCCCATTGCTAAGTTCAAATGATTCAAACCGGAAGATAGCCATTGCCAGTATGTGTGTAAGTAGGTGTGGGACAAGACACAGCCCAACACCTACAATATCACAAAGCAGCTCCTTGCTAGCGGTTCCCCAAACCACGAGAGCGCTAAGGCGTCCTCACCGAGCAGAGAGCCAGGCTTTCCCAAAGCAAACTTACATAAGCAGCCGCAGCCGCCTCCTTATTCCGGAGCAGCTGCGACAATGGCGGCCACACCACTTCCCTGTTGCGACCACACAACTTGGGAGTGGGGGATCCGGGGCCCCGCGCAAGACCTGGGACGCAGTCCGCGCGTGGGGAGCCCACACTCGCATTTCGCAGCCTGTGAGCCGCCGGGTGCAGCGAGCCTTCAGCATTCTTTCCTAAACAAAAGCTCCCCTGAGCGGTGCCCGCCAGCGACATGCCACTTTCCCTTCCACCATCCGCCACTTCACCAGGTCGCAGCGCGGGCGCGAGGCTCTGCCTTGGCCCGCAGCGGCCCCGGCGGCGCGACGAGCTCGGGAGCGGGCATGCGGCCGGTTCCGCAGCCCCGCGCCGCGCCGCGCCCTACTCCGCCCGCGAGCCCTGAGCTCGCGCCCCGCGCACTCCGCGGCCTGCGCGTCTGGTCCTCCCGCGCCCTCCCGCGGCCAGGGGCGGGGGCGGCGCGCGGCCGGCTCCCCGGAGCTCCGCGGACGCAGGCGGGGAGCGTGCGCGGGGGGTCCCGTCTGCTCCGGGGTGCACGGTTGCGAGGGGCGGCGCCCCGCGGACGGCGCTCGGGCCCGGCTCGGCCGTCCCCACCCCCACCGCGGTGCACTGCGGCGCGGAGAGCCGGGCGGCCAT